ACTCAGCACGAAAACTCACTAGTCAAGAAGGTCAGAATTCATTATCTTTTTCAAAATTCTTTCTTTCCTCAAAGGCTGTTTTGTTTTCAAATACACAATCCAAATCAAAACCAAACTCTAACAATTAAATCTCGTTCACATGTAGCTTCCCTGGTAGTTTTTATCAGCTAGGATCACCTGCCCTTCCATTTTGAAAGCAGGTAGTCTTCCAGATATTATGGAAGTGTTATGTTTTAACCTTGTTTTACATGAGTTTTTTTGTAAGCAAAGTCCTATAACATAATTAAAGCAGTTGCATCTGCTGAGAATAGTTCAGCCATCTCTGATTCCTGTTATTTCAGATCAATCTATAACCTTTTCTAGTACATATATACACATGCGCACACATATATATACACACACACATCAAAATTGTGCAAGCTCTTTCCCCGAAGACTTCAGAACATGCAGCCCAAACATTAGATAAAACAGGAAGAAATCTCCAATCATAACAAAGCCAGTGCTCTGAGGGTTTATTTCCTCACCCCTTTCTCTAGCCCTTCAAAAAGAGTCAAGGTATTAGATGTAATATACACACCCATAGATTTTACATACGTAAGTAAATATAAAATGACATACCTCTTGTTCAGCCACACATCCACATGAATCCTTGGGTGACGTAGATTCCATCTGCCAACAGGAATTATTTTTTCTAATGGGAATAAACATAACAATAGGAATAACCATTAAATGAAAGGAGTATATTACTTAACAGAAGAAATCCACAGAGTAACGAGCAGATCTGGCATCTTGAACACATTCTTAGCATTTTATCACAGTGGCAGCTGTGTCTAAAGCTATATCAATTTTACTCATTTGTATTGAAGTGGATTCACTAAAAATATTTATAGAAGTAAAGCAGCAAATGAGCTGCATGCCTTCTGTTTGCAGCAATAAGATAAGTAAAGCATGGTCACAACTCTGCATTCCTAAATTTGGAAATCTGGAATGCTTCCTAACAAATATTGTAATTATTGTCTAACTTTCATTCATATGGATGCCAGACTTGATCTTAATTTTCCTGAAATTAATCAGAAAGCTGTCACTGACTTTTAAGGGCTTTGGATCAGACCTTTAACAATGAAGCCTACAGCCTACTTATGTATTTTACCTGGATTCCAACTCCTTCATCAGAACAGATTTGTCATTAACCTCACACTGCAAGAAAAGCTTAAGATAGTCCACATTACACAGAAAAAAAATATTGAATTTATAATATTCACAATTTACAATTAAGGAAGTAGTTACGTTATTCACAGTTACCCTTGTTTTGAATGCATGCATGTGTGGTCCCAATCAAAGAAATATCTCAGTAGAATCTGAGAAAGGTTTCCTAGGTTATCATCTTCAGTGCTGTTTCAAAGTGGGCCACGGGGCGGAGGGGAGGTAAGGGGAAAAAAAAAAGAAAAAAAATCTTAATATGTCTAGTTCCATTAACTTTCAGGCTCAAGATCCTACACATTTACCGAGAAATTAAAGAACTATAAAATCCATGCATAAGAAACATACCAAAACAGCAAAATTATCTCATTTCAAAAACTATATGTGAACATGTAAAGAAAATTCAATACAATTATGGTTAAACAAATCTCAACGTCTCCCCATGGCCATCTTTCTCTTTATAAATATGCATTCCTAACAGTTAACATGGTTTAAGTGTTTTTCAAACAGCATCATGTTATGTTTATGAAGATATCTGGATATTTGTCCAGTGGAGAAAGTGATCTGTATGCGATATGCACTTGATATAGAGTAGTTCGGAGCTGATCTATAGATACTGTACATTAAAAATAAATCAATCAATCAATCTAGTTGGTTGCAAAGCTGAGCATATAGAACCTAGAGGTTGAGTAAGAAGGGTACCAGGTTTTGTTAATACTGTGTGACATTTTCAAACCTGAGAATTATTTTGAGAAAATGGCTTCAGACCCAAGCAATTAGTTAAAATGAAGCATGCAAAGGCTTGTTTAAATACACTTGTGCATTTACATATAAATGGCCATGACTGGTATTGAAACAGATTGCCCAGTTCAAGCTGCTCCAAAGTCTTTGTCCTTTCCTCCAGAAAATCCTTTGCACAATGTTTTTCTAATTTTATCTCTCGCTCATAACAATATATAAAACTGTACTAAACATCTGAAAAATAAACAGTTATCGTAAAAAGTAACTATTATTCTTCCTAGAATGCAAATAGTCTCTAAAATATGAGAACTTAAGGGTAAAGGTCCCAGAACCCTGGATATTAATGATGATGGATGAGCCCTTTACCTAAAGAAGGATTCTGCATTGTCATAAAGTCTTGGTGTCAGCTTGAGAGAAGGATAATCAATAGCCAGCGGCTTCACACTAAACAAGGCCATTGCCAGTGCAACAAAGAGGACAGGCAGCAGCACATTTGACAGACTTCCTCTCCAGTCTCGCTTAGTGTGGAGAAACCTCTTCATCAGAAGGGCAACAATCTGTGCAAGAACAAGACGGGCTCCACACACACTTGAGGCCCCCGTAAGTGAGATATCTGAGTGAGACAAAAAAACCCTCTTGACAAACAAGGAAAATCAAATTAAACTTTCATGTGCTACATTTTCAAATATAGAACATAATAGTCTTTTTCATAGGAAAAACAAAACTCCATAAACCTACAGTGTCTCCTGGATGGAATAGTATAATCCCCCCCAGTATAACTAATTAACTCTTCCTATAAAGGAAAACAGATATTCAGCTAACACATTATCTCTATAGCTTTCCGTACACAGCTTAAAGGAGTACTGAATACCTATTTTCCCTTGGTCCTCGCACTGGTACAATCATTCCTTGTGCATTGCCACCTTTGCTCCTAGACAAATGACTATGACAAACATGGCCTGTATTAGCACTAAGGTCTTGATCCACCTTAACTGAAATCAGTGCCAACTTTTCTACAAGGATTTCAATGGGACGTCTTTAGAGTATGTAATAGAGCATCACAGATGCTAGAGACGTGGATTCTCATAAAAGCATTCCCTTCATTTCTCTGCTCATATGGGACTGATAAAATTTTCTAATGTGTTAGTCAATGCAGTTTCCATAATCCCAGCTCATGGGCTGTCCCTCACATTCCCATGGGAGTGTGTCCACAGCTTTTTAACATCTCACCAATCAGACATTTTCCTGATAGACTGTCCCTTAATTTCATTTTATTGTTCTTTGTTAGACACTTGTGAATCATACCAATCACTTCGCCTCCATTTTAAACCCTAATGCCTTCTAGGTATATGCAGGCTATTACCAGCTTCTCTGACTTGTGGCCTTGCTAGACTTGAACGTACCTCAGCCTCTTTTCTTCCTTACAGCATAGCAGTGTCTGGTAGATTTACTACCACAAGTATTTGCACTGTAGCAAGACTGAATAGCCTGTTTATCGTAGTGCTCAAAGACATACTGTATTTTATGATCCCTTGTGATTTGTCTCTTTCTATCTTCCCTTCAATATACCGAGATCACTCTAAGCAGCATTTCCATGGTACCTTTTAACAGCTACTTGTATGGGAGCTTTCAAGTAACCTCAAATTAATTGTCCTTCACTTAGCATAGTTTTTTTCTGGTTTACTAGAACTTTAATCCCAGAAGAGAGAGCTATGGGACAAATGGGGGAAAAAATAATTAGAAAAATAAGTTGAAGTTTTGACAGAGTGACCATTGAGCAAAACAGCCCAAATTCTGTACTCTACAAGTGGAGTGTGACTTATAAACTTATGATTTCTTATATTAAAAATTATGTGTATTTTGCCATGAAAAGTTATAATCAAGTAAACACATTGTGGGAGATTGTGGCTTTTAGGGTTTGGGCCTACACAAGAGGAGGAAATCAGGTGACATAGAGCTTCCTGGTGACACAAATACCTCCTGTGGACTTCTCAAGGCTAAGACTTTTGGAAAAAGATAAACATCACATCCACCTGCAAGAAGAGCAAAAAGGAGGATCCAGGTAAATACAGGCTAATCATCCTCAGTCCCTGGGAAGGTTACAGACCAAATCTTCCAGAAAACAACACCCAGGATATGAAAAACAAGAAACGACTGGGAATAGACAACACAGACTTGGTAAGGTTGAACCGTGCCACCTGAGAGCTTGCCATGAATACAGGACTGGTTTGGTGAATAAAGGAAGAGCAGCGGATGCTGTTTACTTTGACTTAACAAAGCCTGTGACATGGTTTCCCATAGTGTTCTTAGAGCAAATGGGATGAGGAGGACTACAAGGACTGTTGGCCAGACTGCCAGGCACCACACTGTGGGCTGTGAGCAGCGGTACCGGGTCCAACTGAGGAGCAGTTGGTTACTAGGGCTGTCCCTCAGGGACGATGATGAGGAAAATGCTGACTAACAGTACTTGTTAACACACACACATGTGCACACCTACACCTGGAGGGGATCCACACTGTTTGGAGGCATCTGCGGGTCAGGCACTGGGGACGAGGAGAACCTCCTGGCAGCAGGAGCAGCTCTCCAGCAGTACCCAGGGACTCCAGTGGCACCAGGGAGCAAAGTCTTTGCTCAGGGTAAGGACAAAAAGCAACAGACACCAGCTGGAACATAGGAAATTCTGACTTAATATATCAGGAAAAAAATTTCGCTGTGAGAGTGACAACTAAAACTCAAAACCAGACTGGACAAGGCACTGAGTAACCTGCTCTCACTTGACCCACTCTTCCAAACTTAATATTCTCTGATTCTATCAGATTCCAATTAACCCTAAGTAATTAATTTTGGTTTAATTTCTGGGGAAAAAAATTTCCAGTATTTATTATTTTAATTCCGCAACTGAATGATATTTCTTTTTTCCCCAGAAAATCCCATAGAACAGAAATTCTGTCTTTAAGCAGTTCTAATCACAGCCATATATTGTTAATTTCACAGCTAACACAAATGGGATTTAGGATTTTGAATCTCTGTGGAGAGAAAAAGTAGCTACAAAATTCAGATCCTGGTTCAGCATTCAAGTGCCCCAATCAAGAAAGATTATATTTTGGGCTTGGAAGCTGTTTTTTCTATAAATTGGACTAGTATGAGAAGACAATCTCAGTAAAAGAAGAATTTTTTTAAAGCAAACTCCTTATGACTGTATTAAGCTCTTTGAATTATTATGATAAGGCTTTCAATAGTTGACTCAATACAGAAATTGAGACACTTGGAAACAACAATTTTCAAGGGATGAGTGTTTTCAGAATAAAACAGTTCCTGTAAGTGTTTCCAGCTGAGCATCCCTGAAATTGTAAAATATACCATCTCTCATTTATCAAAGTAGTGAAATGCCAGAAAAGAAGCATAGAATGAGATATTTGCCATGGTCCCGGACCTGTTCATAGATTATAAGCATGAAATGTGAGTTAAGGATGCTTTAAAATATTTTGCCCCATTGAATCTCTGAAAGAGGACTATGACAGCTACTTTCTGGGGGCAGAAAGGGAAATCAAAGCTGCCATTCATTCTTTTTTCTTGACAAATGGAGCAGAGGGAAATGATAACAAATTAATTCAGATTGCAATAGGAAGAGAAACTGTCATCCTGAATAAAAATGATTGTCCATTTTGTCCAATATCCTGACTCTTACTCAATATTTCTAATGCTGGCCAGCCAAGTTACATCACAAAATGATGCAATAAACAATTATATTAAAAGTATATGTTTGCCTCAGGCACTTCTTCTTCTTTTTAAAATTATTTGTGTTTTCAAAAAAACTCATATATTTATCATTTAAAATTCTTATTGAGAAAGGTGTCAAATGTCTTTCTGAATCATCTTAAATTTCAATCTTTGTGACCTTGAATTCTGTCATTCCTTTGTGTTTCAGGTAAAAACCAAAAATCTTGTTTATCTGTTTTGACTTTATTCTGTTTGATGGCACTGGATATGCTCCAATCTATCTTCTGCATAAATAATCTCACCCTTTCAGTCTCCACTTATAAAAATCTTTATAGTCCTAACCACCCTCACCACTTGCCTCAAGTCCCTCTATATTACCACTGTATCAGTCTCAAGATATATTGTGTTCAACACGGCTGTCTATCAGATGTGGAAACACTACTGATTTATACAATAGCATTATGCATTCTTGTACTGATCTGCTTGCCTTCTTTAAGCATCATACCATTTTGCCTGACTGCAGCGACACTGTGAAAAGTAGCCTGCATCAGGCTTTCCACAATTGACTCAATACTGCTTTCAAGATTCCCAAGGTATTAAATCACTCAAAAAAAAAAAAAAAAAAAAAGCTAAATTCTATTCCTGTGTACACTTGCCATTTAACCCTTCATGTTTCTTAATCCTACATGTATAGTCTAATTTAATTTTCTTTTAACTAGAAGCTATAAAATTAATTTTTGTTTCATAAAGCTTGTAAGTAATTCACCACCTACATTTGGTTTGTATGTCAGGAGGCAAAAAAGAAGCACACATTTATGGGAAAACAGTTTCTGATTACCACTGATAATCACAAAGGCTAGAAGACAAGACCAGCTGACCTTTCTGTTATGAAGCCAATTTTAATGCAGAAAGCTTATGGAAATATTCTCATTAATAATTTAGATTGTAAAATTAAAAATCTGACCCAACTGTTAGAAGCTGTCTTGCTTGACTTACAATTGCAATTAACTGCAAGAAGTGCAATTATGTTCACAATTAAGTTGTACTTTGCAATTCATCCAGACTCTCCTTTGTATTATGGAAAAGATTTTTGCCTTTTTCCAATTCATATATATATATATATATATGAGTTAATATCAGGTACAGGGAAACAGAGCATAAGTCCTAAAATTTGGGAACCAAGATTTTGAAAAGCCTTACCTATAGACTACTCTAGAATTAGGAGCAGAAGCAAATATTGTAAGAATCTCTAACTGGATATCGGATGGGCTTTTTCTTCCCTTCTTTGCACTTCTAGAAAATAATGTAATCATAAACTTTTTTCATGGCACAATAAAATAAGGAAAAATGGGCTATGCAATGGCTATGTTAACAGCCAGGAGTAGACATTTTCAATTCTGCTTCTGTCATTTTGGCATTTAGACATGTCATTTAGAGGAGGTCCAGATTTTGGGAAGATAATCCTGGAACTGAAATACCTTGGCAAAACAGTTGAGCTAGCTCACATGAAACTGGTTGCATTTGGAAGCAGTATATATTTATTAGCTTATCAGAAGTTCTGTGCCAACAAGTAGTTCTAGGCTGAACTAGTGATCTGACATCCTTCTGCATTTCACCAAATGCCATACTGGCGTAGAGTCAGTGCTAGCCCACCAATCTGTGCACAGCATTCCATTAGAAGGTATAAAAATGTCCTTCATCTTCTTATATATTTGTTTACTCATTATAAAAAAAGTATAATATTGATTGTGTTTCCAGGGGGATTTTGAGGACTGATTTTCATACAGAGCATTTGAATAAAAGGCACTTTGATGGTGTGAGGTATAAAGGGAATGCCTCTAGTCTGTGTTTCATACTATGATTGATTCTTGCTTATATGTAGTAGGGTCATGA